CGGGGCGGGGCGAGCTGCGTGCTAGAGTTCCTCCTCGGGGTGGCGAATTATAAGTCCTTGTCCAATTTGCGGTGGGCCTGTGTAGTGGGGTGTAGCTGGTTTGGGAGTTTCATTTTGTTTGTATTTCATTCCGTTTTCCCAGAACTTCGTTCCACCAATTACTTCCTATTGAAACCTCGCTACATCACGTCATTAAATCGTGTGTCTACGGTCTTGCTGCTCCGGGTAGACTGAGCGACGGCCGTGATGCGGGTATTGCGTTGGCTTTCAGCAACTGAAACCATACGAATACGAAAATAAATATTAGGCAAAGCTTTATCTTCTAATACCATTTCCCTTACCGGATTGTTGATGGCAATAGAGACCTGTACTCAGAATTTTCTTGGTTACACACTACAGATTAAGGGCACTTCATCACTTTTCCACTGGAGTCAACGAAAGATGAGGACCACTATTTACCAGTAAGATAAATAGATTTATTCATTTTCGGACTCTGTTGGTGGTATAAATGTATATAACAGATTCTACCATTGTAATCACAATAATTACGCTTTAATCACAAGGCGAATCTCTCACTAATCTAGCGGAGAGTGCCCTCCCCCTTCCGAGTATGTGCTGTGAGGTCGGGAACCATCTCTCGGGTTACTAGAAATGTAGTAGTTGGTTGTAGTGGACTCGGACAGCTTTAAGCAAACAATATTTTCTTTAAAATTCAATTTAAATGAACGAGTAAAATTTAAATGAATCCCGAATCTTGTAACTGTCGTACTTTAGTCTGTTTTAATTATTCCTGTATTTTGTGAGCTTACTTTCTGTATTAAAATGCAGTTTGCGTCACACTGCGACAGCGTGACTGCTCAAGAGTTTGTACCATATGTTTTTTATTTCTCCGTTGAGAATCCTTTCTCTTTTCCGATAATGGACATTATTGGAGTCGTTAGTTCAGTAACATTGGCGTTTTCCTAAATTTTGGTATCGTGTTTGAGAATCCCAGAATTGACTCTGAATTATTCATTAGTATTTTTTTACCGATTGAAACGAATTTAAACGAAAAAGAACATGACTTGAAACCATTCAACCAATTTCCTAAATTATATTTAACTTACAGATTCCGGGTATTTGTTTTCATATATTGCAAAATGTATGGATATTTAATGAAATATATATTATAAAACGGGTCGTGTACTACTAGAGTCGGCAAAGTGACGTCTGTTTATTAGAAAATAACATCACAAATCTGCCAGTTGGGATCAGAAAATTGAATGAAAATGTTAACTGGGCAAGAGCAGTTTGGATCCGTACTTTTCCGAGTAAAATGTTAATAACGATTTTGATTCATGCTCTCAGATCCGAAGATGGGATCTACAAATTGCCCCAAAATCATTTAAATCAGCTGAGTTTTCTAGGAGTTAGTGAGCAAATGTTGCAATTTTATTTGTAATAGATATAAATATTGTGTCCAAATTTCGATCGCATTTTCTGTTTCAACTTCTGCAAAGAAGAGAGAAAGGCTGTAACAACTCATCTACATCGGGAGAAATGTGTTCTAATAGGGGCAACACAACCTCCGGAGATTAATATACGTAAGACCGAAGGTTTGCATTTCGTGTGGAGTTCAGGCGAACTTCAAATGGGTATGTTCATCCATCTTCGTGCTTTGAAAGCGGACAAATAAAGTGAAATAATAAGATGTATATGCGGACCATTTCACTTAATTGGACCTAGTACACAGCGTCTCGACAGGGGTGGATTTTCGACTCTAGCTAGATGCTAGGTCGGATTCAGCCTCTGTCTGGAGAAGAATTCCAACTGCCGGCTGCTCTTATCGGTATGTTTCTGTGTTTCATCACCGTTCGTTTTGTTACACGCTGCGCTCCTCCGAACCAAGCCGACACCCAGGAAGAAGAGGGGCCCTGAAGAGACGTTGAAAGTATCGTCTAGGCTTGTAACCTCTCGCTTCTGGCTCTTCAGTTGCGCAGCACTCTCTTAGCTAAGGCACTGAAGAAACGATATTTCAGGAGGAATGTTCACTTAAACGCCAAAAGTCAATTCACCGATTTCGAGGGAATACAAAAAATATCAAATACAAAGCCGGAAGGAACTAAAGATGGAAGACAACCGTTTTAAATTCTGACCTGCAAATGTCTATAAAATAAACACATGGCAAAAGTTACTTAGTATCAATACTCCTAATTGTAATATGTAAATTGTTGTGTTCTGCCACCAGGTTGCATAAATGCTACAGGAATGTTAAATATCTATCTAAAATTGTACATTTTGACAATAATTGTCGCAAAATTAATTAAATTAAAATCTTTGTAATTTTAAATTGAATGACTTCCCATGCAAGCCGTGAAAATTTGTCAACTCGCACCTCAATTACGTTCATAATTTATACGAGTAATCCTCTGTTTGAAATTTGCCAAAAATTGTATTTGTCTCGATAATAACAATAACTGGTATATCAAATATGTATTTTACTACGCTGCACTGGTGGGTTTCACTGAAATGATCGCGGTGAATATTCCGCGCTTTTAATGTAACAAATGCCAACTGCTATGCAGAATTACCACCACGGAAACATCCACCATTTATGCTCTGCACGCAATTTAATGTACTTTTCCAGAGGTCTAGAGAACGTCCACAACGCATACACGCGCGCACGTGCGCATATGTTAAAATCCCTCCACATGTAAAATGCGTGTGGAAGTAGTTAGAAAGACGTACGTAAGTACGAAATGAAAGGTAGCACTATGTACGAATGCATCGTGACACATGACAGATTTCTCATTTGTTAGAAACTATGGACACAAATTCCCAGAAGTGTAATGCTGACATGTAGGGAATTACTCCCTAGAGGTGCATCAAAGAGATTTTTAGACGAAACACGTAGAAGTTTAGATTAAGACAAATTCAAATTACTGCAACACATCAAAATCAGAAAGGATGCGTTTAAAGCACTTAAAACGATGTTTTTGTGTCCAGGGACACGTTTTTTACGGGACTGGTGGTGAACCTTCGGGGAAGGTCAGGAAATGATTAGGAACGCGTAAGGAAATGATGCGAGACTTCTGGAATTATAAAGGCGGCCGGGTGAGACATGTGTGGATAGGCGGGGCTCGAATTACGTTACTGAAGTAGTTTTCTTTAAAATGAGTTTTTATCAAACTTTCTATTTCATTTTTTTGAGAGAGAGAGTTCTTTTGAATGCTCCCACGCCATTGCTCGGGTGGTCAGAAAAGTGAGGAAACATGAAATCTAAGTAAAATGAAATTGAGGAAAAAAATGTTTCACTATAAAAGTAGAGAGATGTTATAATATTCTGTGTAATTTAATATCAACTCTCCGTATAATCAGCATTGTCACTCTTGCACGACATCGGGCCTATAATGCTGTAACGCTCAGTTTACGTGCTGTCTGTTCAAAGTTGGCCTCTCCTATGAAGCAATTTTCTCTTTCAAAAGAACTTTCTGTAATGAAAAGAAATGGACTTTGTGTAGTGACCAGGGGGGGGGGGTCTGCAGAATGTTCTACTTCTTCGTGAACGTTTGAAATGCTTCTATGAAGGTGAGTTGTACATTAGTCGTTTTGGCAGCGATGAGAGCAGCATGACGCACAA